CTCACAAATGATGACGCCCCGAAACACTTCCGGAACAAGTGCTTCACTGACGCCTTTGGTTCGAACCACAACGCTGTAAATGCTTCATCCCACGTACTACAAATACAAATAATCGCCAACAGAACCTAAACACCTAACCAGTGCCTAAATATGCACAAAATACTAATATATAATAATATTAATTTTGATAAAATTCCTGTTTTGAATGAACAGCATGTTAAAATTGATGAACGCGTATTTGGGGTCGACCGCTGGATGGAATGGACTTAGTCTGAGGTCGGGTTTGGGGTAAAAGCACTAGCTGATGTCTCTCTGTCTCAATCAAGTGAACATCAACAAATGACTGAATGCCAGCGGCGACACTGACCAAGGCGGCCGCTGGTGACGTCCGTCGCTAAAGTAATTAAGATAGAGCCCAGCAGAGAGCCGCGTGGGGCCGTCTCAAACTCCCTCATCACCTCCTGAAAGATGTTCACGATTTAAGTGTCGGTGAGAAGGAGGAGAGAGATACGAGAGTTCGAGCGGCTGCCGAAGACAAGCTGCTTGAGGACTTGAAGACACAATGCCTGTTAAGGTGTCATTGGGTGATTGCAACACGTGTGTCGAGATATTAGCTATCGGAGATCATTAGCAAGTATTAAGACTCGTTAATGCTTGACACCCCCCGCCCCCCCTACCCCCCCCTCTTGTGTTGGTCTGTTGCTCTAACTACCGACAGATCTTGACAGTGCCTCTAACTATCGACAGATCTTGACAGTACCTCTAACTATCGACAGATCTTGACAGTTCCTCTAACTATCGACAGATCTTGACAGTGCCTCTAACTATCGACAGATCTTGACAGTACCTCTAACTATCGACAGATCTTGACAGTACCTCTAACTATCGACAGATCTTGACAGTACCTCTAACTATCGACAGATCTTGACAGTACCTCTAACTATCGACAGATCTTGACAGTTCCTCTAACTATCGACAGATCTTGACAGTGCCTCTAACTATCGACAGATCTTGACAGTACCTCTAACTACCGACAGGTCTTGACAGTACCTCTAACTACCGACAGGTCTTGACAGTTCCTCTAACTATCGACAGATCTTGACAATATTGCTGTTATCAGAGTAATATAGTTATTGTTAGGGATGTTTTAGGGGGGGGGGGGAGGTTGAGGGTTGACACTGATCAGTACCACTATCGCCGTGACCATTAAGGTCCGCCTAACGACCCTCGACAAGCAATTGTGTGAGCGTTAAAATACTCCCAACTAAATGTAAGGATTTTCTCAGCCTTAATTGCTGGCTTTCTTCTTTCTCTTCTTTCATTTCTTTCTTTTCAATCTTAGTTGTCTTCTCGTCTCTCCTATTCTTCCTTTCATCTTCATTTTCTTTCCTCTCCTCTCTTCCTCCCTCTCCCTATTCTCTCCTTTCTCTCTCTCTCCCTCCCTCCATCCCTTCCCTCTCTCTCTCTCTCTCTCTCTCTCTCTCTCTCTCTCTCTCTCTCTCTCTCTCTCTCTCTCTCTCTCTCTCTCTCTCTCTGTCTCTCTCTCTCTCTCTCCCCCTTTCTCCCTCCCTCCCTCCCTTCTCTCTCCTCTCTCCTCTCTCTCTCTCTCTCTCTCTCTCTCTCTCTCTCTCTCTCTCTCTCCTCTCTCTCTCTCTCTCTCTCTCTCCTCTCTCCCCCTCTTTCCCCTCCCTCTCTCTCCCTCCCTTTCTCTCTCTCTCTCCCTTCTCTCTCTCTCTCTCCCCTCCCTTCTCTCCTCTCTCTCTCCCTTCTCTCTCTCTCTCTCCTCTCTCCTCTCTCCCTCCTTCTCTCTCTCTCTCTCTCCTCTCTCTCTCTCCTCTCTCTCTCTCTCTCTCTCTCTCTCTCTCTCTCTCTCTCTAGCTCTTCCCCTCTCCCTTCTCTCTCTCTCTCTCTCTCTCTCTTCTCTCTCTCTCTCTCTCTCTCTCTCTCCCACCCTCCCTTCTCTCTCTCTCTCTCTCTCTCCTCTCTCCCCTCCCTTCTCTCTCTCTCTCTCTCTCTCTCTCTCTCTCTCCCCCTCCCTCTCTCTCTCTCTCTCTCTCTCTCTCTCTCTCCTCTACATGTATACAAATACATTCGTTCCAAGTTTGCCAGTTGACTCCACGAGGAGCGGGCCCAGAGGTCGGGGTTCAGGTCCTGTTGACTCTGAGGTCGGAGAGCAGGACCTGTCATCACACCTCATCCCTCATACTCATCACTTCTCATCCCTCATAATGACATCACTCACCCATCAAAAGACATCATTCCTTACCCCCTTAATACCAACATGACATCTTATCCCCCTCTACCTGGTTGAGACATCACCACTACCACGACCAGGTATAGACATCACCACTACCACGACCAGGTATAGACATCACCACTACCACGACCAGGTATAGACATCACCACTACCACGACCAGGTATAGACATCACCACTACCACGACCAGGTATAGACATCAGCCCCATTAGTCGGTCAACACTACCGATCACCGTATAGTTCAGGCCTTTGCCACCGTCATGAGGTTACATAGAGCTACATAGAGCTACATAGAGCTACATAGCGCTACATAGAGCTACATAGCGCTACATAGAGCTACATAGCGCTGCATAGAGCTACATAGCGCATAGAGCTACATAGAGCTACATAGAGCTACATAGAGCTACATAGAGCTACATAGCGCTACATAGAGCTACATAGAGCTACATAGAGCTACATAGAGCTACATAGAGCTACATAGAGCTGCATAGAGCTACATAGCGCTACATAGAGCTACATAGAGCTACATAGAGCTACATAGAGCTACATAGAGCTACATAGAGCTACATAGAGCTAGAGCTACATAGCTACATAGCGCTACATAGAGCTACATAGAGCTACATAGAGCTACATAGAGCTACGTAGAGCTACATAGAGCTACATAGAGCTACATAGCGCTACATAGAGCTACATAGAGCTACATAGAGCTACATAGAGCTACATAGCGCTACATAGAGCTACATAGAGCTACATAGAGCTACATAGAGCTGCATAGAGCTACATAGAGCTACGTAGAGCTACATAGAGCTACATAGAGCTGGTGCTACATAGCCTTCCCGGTTTGGTGCCTTCTATTGATAATTATTTACTTTCCCATCGTCATGAACCGGTCGGCCGAGCGGACAGCACGCTGGACTTGTGATCCTGTGGTCCTGGGTTCGATCCCAGGCGCCGGCGAGAAACAATGGGCAGAGTTTCTTTCACCCTATGCCCCTGTTACCTAGCAGTAAAATAGATACCTGGGCGTTAGTCAGCTGTCACGGGCTGCTTCCTGGGGGTGGAGGCCTGGTCGAGGACCGGGCCGCGGGGACACTAAAAGCCCCGAAATCATCTCAAGATAACCTCAAGATAACCATGAGCCATGTGAACCATCTATGGATATACTTGACGACTCAGGGAGTATCTCAGTTCAAACAGTGTGCAGGTTGCGCGGTTTTAGAGTAATTTAGATTTTAAAGAATTTGCAAATGCGACCTAGCCCAACCGTGTCGGCTCTGGCACCGCCGTCAGTGGCGACCCTGGACGCCCCGGATGTAGAGGAAGCATGTTACTATCATCCCTGATTCTAATGTTCTATCCCTTCCCTAATGTTAGATATATCTAAAGAAAAAACTAAGATTTGATTCCTCCTCTTCCTCCTGTGGGACACACAGGGGGGACGCGCCCCCTCCGGTAGTGACATCACCTCCCTACACCCCATTGAGACACCCCCCTCCCTCCCGGCGCCAGGGGTCGTAGGGTTAGCATCATTACGTCTGGGGATCGTGTGTGGTGTTGGCACTCTAGAGTCAGCCGACACTAAGTCATACAGGCCACCCGGGATGCCGGGGTTCGACTCCTCCTGTGCGCGGTTGCTCAATGTTCTAACTTTCATGCTCGGTGCTCACGCCCCCCCCCCATACTCGCTGTCATCCAGGTGGGCATTGTGCACGGCTGAGCGTGGTTGATCTATTGTCTGTGGAGGTGTTGATCTATTGTCTGTGGAGGTGTTGATCTATTGTCTGTGGAGGTGTTGATCTATTGTCTGTGGAGGTGTTGATCTATTGTCTGTGGAGGTGTTGATCTATTGTCTGTGGAGGTGTTGATCTATTGTCTGTGGAGGTGTTGATCTATTGTCTACAGAGGTGCTGATCTATTGTCTATGGAGGTGCTGATCTATTGTCTATGGAGGTGCTGATCTATTGTCTATGGAGGTGCTGATCTATTGTCTGTGGAGGTGCTGATCTATTGTCTATGGAGGTGCTGATCTATTGTCTGTGGAGGTGCTGATCTATTGTCTATGGAGCTGCTGAACGTGGCTGTCTGCCCGGAAGCAGATATCTTACAGGTTAAGTCTGTTCGTCAGACTTGGTTGAAAGCCTTCGAGACTTAACCGAGTTACTGACGTTACGGTTAATGCTGGTAGCTCCGTGCTTGTTGTTGGACGGGTGCCCGTGTGGGGGCCAGGACCCCCCTACCCCCCACACCCCCCCCCCTCTGACGAACCCCCCCCCCTCCCCTGACGACCCCCCCCCCCCCTCTAACGACGCCTGAAGCCACTATTCGACCAGTGTTTAGCTTTAAGCCTCGTCCTCTCCCCTACAACCCGTGCCGTCCGCTCCATGTGTCCATCCCCCTCCCCACTACGGTGATCCTCCCCCCCTTCTTCTTCCCCTCCCCCCTCCTAGCCCCCCCTACCTGCCCCCCTCCTCCCCCCACCCTGCTGGGCACAACCTCGGCCCATAATAATATGCACGACGGTCGCCAACCGATCATTACCTGTCGTTCATCTGTCAATCTCCATTACCAAGACGGGACCCCGTCCCCCTCCCCCCTTCCCTACCTAGGTCCCCCCATCTCCCCCTCCCTCCCCCCTAGGCCCCCCACCACCCCCTCCTCTTGCCCCAAACGCCCCTTTCACTCCAGTTTTCATTTCGTGTTATGGCGGGGAGCATTAGACCGTCCAGTTCACTCTTACACATTACCATACTTTCTCGATTAGCGGCGAGTACCAGCGGCCGCGTTCTGTACCCGCGGGCGGCCGCGTTCTGTACCCGCGGGCGGCCGCGTTCTGTACCCGCGGGCGGCCGCGTTCTGTACCCGCGGGCGGCCGCGTTCTGTACCCGCGGGCGGCCGCGTTCTGTACCCGCGGGCGGCCGCGTTCTGTAACCGCGGGCGGCCGCGTTCTGTACCCGCGGGCGGCCGCATTCTGTACCCGCGGGCGGCCGCGTTCTGTACCCGCGGGCGGCTGTGTTCTGTACCCGCGGGCGGCCGCGTTCTGTACCCGCGGGCGGCCGCGTTCTGTACCCGCGGGCGGCCGCGTTCTGTACCCGCGGGCGGCCGCGTTCTGTACCCGCGGGCGGCCGCGTTCTGTACCCGCGGGCGGCCGCGTTCTGTACCCGCGGGCGGCCGCGTTCTGTACCCGCGGGCGGCCGCGTTCTGTACCCGCGGGCGGCCGCGTTCTGTACCCGCGGGCGGCCGCGTTCTGTACCCGCGGGCGGCCGCGTTCTGTACCCGCGGGCGGCCGCGTTCTGTACCCGCGGGCGGCCGCGTTCTGTACCCGCGGGCGGCCGCGTTCTGTACCCGCGGGCGGCCGCGTTCTGTACCCGCGGGCGGCCGCGTTCTGTACCCGCGGGCGGCCGTGTTCTGTCCCCGCGGGCGGCCGCGTGTTCTGTACCCGCGGGCGGCCGCGTTCTGTCCCCGCGGGCGGCCGCGTTCTGTCCCCGCGGGCGGCCGTGTTCTGTCCCCGCGGGCGGCCGTGTTCTGTCCCCGCGGGCGGCCGTGTTCTGTCCCCGCGGGCGGCCGTGTTCTGTACCCGCGGGCGGCCGTGTTCTGTACCCGCGGGCGGCCGTGTTCTGTACCCGCGGGCGGCCGTGTTCTGTACCTGCGGGCGGCCGTGTTCTGTACCCGCGGGCGGCCGTGTTCTGTACCCGCGGGCGGCCGTGTTCTGTACCCGCGGGCGGCCGTGTTCTGTACCCGCGGGCGGCCGTGTTCTGTACCCGCGGGCGGCCGTGTTCTGTACCCGCGGGCGGCCGTGTTCTGTACCCGCGGGCGGCCGTGTTCTGTACCCGCGGGCGGCCGTGTTCTGTACCCGCGGGCGGCCGTGTTCTGTACCCGCGGGCGGCCGTGTTCTGTACCCGCGGGCGGCCGTGTTCTGTACCCGCGGGCGGCCGTGTTCTGTACCCGCGGGCGGCCGTGTTCTATACCCGCGGGCGGCCGCGTTCTGTCCCCGCGGGCGGCCGTGTTCTGTACCCGCGGGCGGCCGCGTTCTGTACCCGCGGGTGACCGGTGTGGCTGTGTTCTGTACCCGCGGGCGGCCGTGTTCTGTACCCGCGGGCGGCCGCGTTCTGTACCCGCGGGTGACCGGTGTGGCTGTGTTCTGTACCCGCGGGTGACCGGTGTGGCTGTGTTCTGTACCCGCGGGCGGCCGTGTTCTGTACCCGCGGGCGGCCGCGTTCTGTACCCGCGGGTGACCGGTGTAGCTGTGTTCTGTACCCGCGGGCGGCCGTGTTCTGTACCCGCGGGCGGCCGCGTTCTGTACCCGCGGGCGGCCGTGTTCTGTACCCGCGGGTGACCGTGTTCTGTACCCGCGGGTGACCGGGTACAGCAGCGACCGCCTTGCCCAGGACCTCCTAAACTCACTAAGGAATTGTCTGTATCACATGACGCTGTGACGGGAGATTCACACACCCTGTGTACTCACCGTGTGTACTCACCGTGTGTACTCACCCTATGTACTCACCCTATGTACTCACCGTGTGTACTCACCGTGTGTACTCACCGTGTGTACTCACCGTGTGTACTCACCGTGTGTACTCACCGTGTGTACTCACCCTGTGTACTCACCCTGTGTACTCACCCTGTGTACTCACCGTGTGTACTCACCCTGTGTACTCACTCTGTGTACTCACCCTGTGTACTCTGTGTACTCTGTGTACTCACCCTGTGTACTCTGTGTACTCACCCTGTGTACTCACCCTGTGTACTCTGTGTACTCACCCTGTGTACTCACCCTGTGTACTCTGTGTACTCACCCTGTGTACTCTGTGTACTCACCCTGTGTACTCACTCTGTGTACTCACCGTGTGTACTCTGTGTACTCACCCTGTGTACTCACCCTGTGTACTCACCCTGTGTACTCACCGTGTGTACTCACACTGTGTACTCACCCTGTGTACTCACCCTGTGTACTCACCCTGTGTACTCTGTGTACTCACCCTGTGTACTCTGTGTACTCACCCTGTGTACTCACTCTGTGTACTCACCCTGTGTACTCACCCTGTGTACTCACTGTGTACTCACCCTGTGTACTCACCCTGTGTACTCACCCTGTGTACTCACCCTGTGTACTCACCCGTGTGTACTCACTGTGTACTCCCTGTGTACTCACCCTGTGTACTCACCCTGTGTACTCACTGTGTACTCACCCTGTGTACTCACCCTGTGTACTCACCCTGTGTACTCACCCTGTGTACTCACCCTGTGTACTCACCCTGTGTACTCTGTGTACTCACCGTGTGTACTCACCCTGTGTACTCACCCTGTGTACTCACTGTGTACTCTGTGTACTCACCCTGTGTACTCACTCTGTGTACTCACTCTGTGTACTCACCCTGTGTACTCACCCTGTATGGAGTCAGCCTCCACCACATCACTGCCTAATGCATTCCATTTGTCAACCACTCTGACACTGAAAAAGTTCTTTTTAACGTCCCTGTGGCTCATGTGGGTACTCAGTTTCCACCTGTGTCCTCTTGTTCGTGTACCACTCGTGTTTCAAAATTTATCCTTATCTACCTTATCAATACCTCTGAGAATTTTGTAGGTAGTGATCATGTCTCCTATTACTCTTCTGTCTTCCAGAGTCGTGAGATGCATTTCTCCCAGCCTTTCCTCGTAACTCATGCCTCTTAGGTCTGGGACTAGCCTAGTGGCATACCTCTGAACTTTTTCCAGCTTCTTATGCTTGACAAGGTACGGGCTCCATGCTGGGGCCGCATACTCCAGGATTACGTGTGCTGTATACAAGGTTTTGAATGATTCCTTACACAGGTTCCTGAAGGCAGTTCTGATGTTAGCCAGCCTTGCATACGCTGCCGATGTTATTCTTGTTATGTGGGCTTCAGGAGACAGGTTTGGTGTGATATCAACTCCTAGATCTTTCTCTCTGTCCGTTTCATGAAGGACTTCTTCTCCCGTTCGGTATCTTGTGTCTGGCGTCCTGTTTCATGGTTGTGTGTGTGTGGACGTCTGTCCTATCTTGTGTCTGCAGGATCGAGCATGGACTCTTGGGTCCCGCCTTTCGAGCCATCGGTTGTTTACAGCAATGACCCCGGTCCTATTTCCCTATCATACCTAGTTTTAAAATTATGAACAGAATTTGCTTCCACAACCTGGTCCTTAAGTGCTTTACATTTTTCCACTACTCTCACGCTTAAAGAAAACTTCCTAACATCTCTCTGACTCATCTGAGTTTCCAGCTTCCATCCATGTCCCCTCGTTCTGTTACTATTACGTGTGAACATTTCGTCTATTTCCACTCTGTTAATCCCCCTGAGTATTTTATACGTTCCTATCATATCCCCCCTCTCCCTTCTTTTTTCTAGTGTCGTAAGGCACAGTTCCTTCAGGTGCTCCTCATACCCTATCCCTCGTAACTCTGGGACGAGTCTCGTTGCAAACTTCTGAACCTTTTCCAGTTTCCTTATGTGTTTCTTCAGGTGGGGACTCCATGATGGGGCGGCATACTCTTAAGACTGGCCTCACGTAGGCAGTGTAAAGCGCCCTAAAAGTCTCCTCACTTAGGTTTCTGAATGACGTTCTAACTTTTGCCAGTGTAGAGTACGCTGCTGTCGATATCTTATTTATATGTGCCTCAGGAGCTAGATTAGGTGCTACGTCCACGCCCAGGTCTCTTTCTCGCGTCGTCACAGCGTGTGTGTGTGTGTGTGCGTGCATGTGAGTGTGTGGACGTGTGCGTGCGTGTGTGTACATGTGCTAGGCCGCCACAGCAGTTTAGAGCCGCTCCAGCACCGCCACATGGAGGTGGTGGCCGCAAAGGGCGCCGCCTCCGGTTTTATGAAAGGATTGAAACAAAAAATGAACGATCAAAAACACGCTTTATGAGTCCCTCATTCTGAGCTCGAATCTTTGTTTGTATATAAAAAAATTACTGAAGTACCTTGCCGCTCATCCCCCGAGACGTCAGGCTTTCTCATGTTCTGTATTTGATTGTTTTCTCAAGATCCATCTACACCTCACTACATCTTCTATACACAACCATTTGAGCTCCAACGATATACACCCAATCCTACACACCTGCACCCAGCCCTACACACCTGCACCCAGCCCTACACACCTACACCCAGCCCTACACACCTACACCCAGCCCTACACACCTACACCCAGGCCTACACACCTACACCCAGCCCTACACACCTACACCCAGCCTTACACACCTACACCCAGCCCTACACACCTACACCCAGCCCTACACACCTACACCCAGCCCTACACACCTACAACCAGCCCTACACACCTACACCCAGGCCTACACACCTACAGGAGCCAACACGGAAGTGCATCTCCTGAAGATTCTAGTTTTTTGTCGGATCCCGCTGTGGAGCCGAGCTCGGCCCATAGGCCTACTGTTTTTTCATTTATTGCCTGGTCGCGGAAAGGGTTGAGAGTAGTGGAAGGGGGAGCTGGAGGAAGAGGAAGAGGGAAAGAGAACTTTTGAGCAGTCTGGAGAACTTGAAGAGACGGAAGTCAAATGCTGGAATGGACAGAACGAAAGGTAAATAACAAAGGGAGAAAAAGGAATATTTGGACGGTTAGTTGGAGGGAGAGAGGGTAGAGAAGGCATGTGAGGGAAAGGAGAGGGGGAGGAGAGGTATGTGAGGGAAGGGAGAGGGGGAGGAGGATGAAAGGAGGAGGAGAGGTATGTGAGGGAAGGGAGAGGGGGAGGAGAGGTATGTGAGGGAAGGGAGAGGGGGAGGAGAGGTATGTGAGGGAAGGGAGAGGGGGAGGAGAGGTATGTGAGGGAAGGGAGAGGGGGAGGAGAGGTATGTGAGGGAAGGAAGAGGGGGAGGAGAGGTATGTGAGGGAAGGGAGAGGGGGAGGAGAGGTATGTGAGGGAAGGGAGAGGGGGAGGAGAGGTATGTGAGGGAAGGAGAGGGGGAGGAGAGGTATGTGAGGGAAGGAAGAGGGGGAGGAGAGGTATGTGAGGGAAGGGAGAGGGGGAGGAGAGGTATGTGAGGCGAGGTAGAGGAGATGGGGAAAGGGTTAAGGACATCTTTTAAGGAGGGGTAAGGAGGCTTTTATGGCGCAATAGAGAAGCTGGTCCCCGCTAGGTAGGGGTGGGGTGAGGTGGGTCCCGGGAGCTGACGTATTTACAGATATAAAGAGACACTATGTAAGGTGTGTGTACTCACCTATTTGTACTCGCCTATTTGTGCTTGCGGGGGTTGAGCTTTGGCTCTTTGGTCCCGCCTCTCAACTGTCAATCAACTGGTGTACAGATGTGTGTGTGTGTGTGTGTGTGTGTGTGTGTGTGTGTGTGTGTGTGTGTGTGTGGTGTGTGTACTCACCTAGTTGAACTGCGAATAGGTGCAGAGAGCCAGATTTTGGGTCCAAAATATGGCTCAGGTATCGAATTTGGGATGTTTGGGATGTTTTGAAAACTGCAGGGGGGTTTGAGCAAAATATGACCCACCGCCTCTTTCGGTATTTGGCATATTTTTGGTATAAAAAGTCAGGGGCCAGATTCACGAAAGCACTTACGCAAGCACTTACGAACCTGTACACCTTTTCTTAATCTTTGGCGGCTTTGTTTACAATTATTAAACAGTTAATGAGCTCCGAAGCACCAGGAGGCTGTTTATAACAATAACAACAGTTGATTGGCAAGTTTTCACCCTTGTAAACTGTTTAATAAATGTAACCAAAGCCGTCAAAGATTGAGGAAAGATGTACACGTTCGTAAGTGCTTGCGTAAGTGCTTTCGTGAATCTGGCCCCAGAATTTCAATCTGCGAATAGGTGCAGAGAGCCAGAATTTGGGTCCAAAATATGGCTCAGGTATCGAATTTGGGATGTTTGGGATGTTTTGAAAACTGCAGGGGGGTTTGGGCAAAATGTGACCCACCGCTGCTTTCAGTAATTCGCATATTTTTGGTATAAAAAGTCGGATTTTCAAACTGCGAATAGGTGCAGAGAGCCAGAATTTGGTCCAAAATATGGCTCAGGTATCGAATTTGGGATGTTTGGGATGTTTTGAAAACTGCAGGAGGGTTTGGGCAAAATGTGACCCACCTTCGCTTTCAGTAATTGGCATATTTTTGGTATAAAAAGTCGGAATTTCAAACTGCTCACGTCCTATTAGGTCTATTTTCTTCCATTGATTACAAGAGGCATTTACCCTTCATTGTGTAGTGGGCTACCGGCAGCGTTGCCTGGACCCATCCCAATCACTTTACACTTATTCGTATTCCATTCCATTAGCCATGTCTCTCTGGAGGTTCAAGGTTCAAGGTAGCCTTCTTAACACCTCCTGCCGCACAAGGCAATCAAGATCGTTTAGATTATTCCATTAATATTGCGTCGTGTGCAAATGTTGACTTGCAAGAGGCTCTTTATCCCTTGGATGTTAACGG